AAAATAACCCCAGAAACTAGAGTACCTGGGTGGCTCAGTTCGTTAAGCATCTGACTTTGGCTCAGGTCATGATCTCATGTTTTGTAAGTTCAAGCCCCACATCTGGTTCTGTGCTGAGAGCTCAGAGCCTGGAGCCTGCTTCAGATTCTGTCTCCCTCTCTCTCTGCCCCTCCCCCACTCACACTGTGTCTCTCAAAAATAATTAAACATTAAAACAACGTGACAAATTATTTTCATTGTGACTTTTTAACTACAAAATGGAAGGTTAAATATATGGTTTGGGTGACATCATGGAAATGAACATAATCAGTCTAAAAAAACATCTCAAAATATTTGTGGTTTCTCACAATATCAGGGCAATATGGTTGTGCAACTTGAATGGAATGGAAAGGAATTCTCTTTGGTCAGAAAGTGTTCTTCAAGTATATACCAGTAATTCAACATACTTTCCTAGGTATAGGGTGGAGCTCCATCAGGTTTTGGAAATGTCACTGTTTCAAGGTAGATATAAATTCTCTAGATTGTGTCTGTGTGTTTCTAGCAATATGACATTACTATCCTTTTGTGCAGTGCTGTCAATTTTTGAGCCACTGTGTAAGGAAACATGTTTCAACAAGATTTGTTTGTCAGATTTAGGTAACTATAATAACACCCCCTGTGCTTAATAACAGAAGAAACCACAGTTAGAAATGAGATTTCCTCATCTCCTTGATGTCTCTGTCCCTAATATTAAGCCCTTACTTTGTATCGTTATCAGCATTTTTAATCCCTTATCCAGGGCGCTGTCAGAAATTTCAGCTTTACCTGATAGCCTGATCTCTGCTATGTCATCGGGCACCTGCTGACTGTTAGTTTGCAGTCTCTCTCTGGCCAAATGATACTCCCATTTTATCTTTGCCACTAACTTGTGACTTCATCCAGGATGGAACCTTCCGCTTTATAGATTCTCAATATATCCATAAGGGTTTTCCTTAAATTTTTGTCTAACTTAAAAAATAGCTAAATGACAAAATAGTAAAAATATTGAAACTACTATGTTTTGAAAGATGACTAAATTATAGAACAAGTGATAGAAATCTCCTAGCCTACTCTGAAGCATATCCAAAGCAACTGTGAAGTTAATTTAGTGAAATTATTTTTTGAGGGAATAAAAAATAACTTTTTATTACAAAGTCAGCAAGCCATTTAACATGGGACAAAATGTAGAAAAGATCAATGACAGAAAGTATCAAAAACCAAGTATAAGTCTACCACTCTAAAAACTTTTGACATTTTGATTTATGTTCTGCTAATATCATATATGCATTTGTCTGAGTACATGTGTGTTTGTGTCTAGTTCTAGATATTGCCTAGAAACTTTGTTAGAGCAAGATTTGAGGAACTGGGTGGGGTACTTGAAGGCTTTAATAGTAAGAAAGGGTAACTAACTAGCTTGAGATTATTTATTCTATTCACTATATTACACAGCTGTTATGCAAACAACTGCCAAAAATATGGAAAGTAGTTTTCATGATGGCGTTGTATTATGTAAAGATTAGTAATCATCTCGACATAATACAGAATTTACTGGAACCAGAAAGTGGCATCGACAGGTAGTATATTTTTCATTCCAAACTCCTTTTTGATTCTCTGAACAGTAATTATCTAGGAAGGCAAAATATGGAATGTGCATTAGACCTCTTCCAATGCCAGATTTCAAATCCTTAGTGATTGCCTTTATCTTGGGCAAATCTGAAATTTCTTCCAGAGAAAAATGAATGAAAATAATTTTCAGTGTCAAACTAGAGGTATGATATAGACATACTGATAGAAGAGTAAAACTCTTTGCACATCTTGTAAAAGAAAATTACAGGTAAAATTTATCACTAAATGGTAAAACATAGGTTTTGACAGAGATTATTTACATATATTAGAAAAACACTTTCTCTCTCTCAAAACAAATAAACAGTAAAAAGGATAATAAAACACTCTGAACAGAAAAGTAGTGAACACATTCTGGGCAGACTTTGTACAAAAAGCCTGACATTTCTTTCCAATCTCATGATAAATGTCCTATGTATATCTCTGTGTTCCTTTATTGTATTGTCAAATTTCCTCATCTCTCAATTCAAAATAAAAATATTTCACATACTGGGAAAATCTTTCTCCTCCCCAAAACATCCTCATCATTACCTAAACTGGCCTACAGTACCACTATATGCATGCAAATTTTCTTTTCTAATGTGTCCCCTCCCACAAGCTTTATTACGTAGGGTGCCAATTATTATGTTAATAAGGGTTAATAAAGGTTTCACCATTAAGAATTTTGGACACAGAAACACTTTCTCCCTCTTTCTTCAATCTCTTTCAAGTGTCTTTTTTATAACTGCATCTCTCAGGCCTCTAAGAGCATTGACTGTAGCATTACAAACAAGAGTGAAGGAAATTATCCATGAAAGCATAAAAGGAGATGAGAGAAGCCAGGATAAAATCATGAGTATGTAAAGAACCTTGTGTTCAGACGACCTCCTTTCAAGTCTATACTATATTGCGTATACACATCCATTCTAATAGAAAAAGAAGGGAGGCTTAACTCCTGGAAGTCTACAAAGGATTGTGCACGGCTCAGGTGTTTCTAAGGAAAGAGTTCCTAGGGCAGGCCCAAAGCCTGGTAATTCCAGACAGTCAAGAAGAATGATTCATGAACTAAAAGTAATAAACATGAAATGTGGAGTCATGTTTAATACCAAGAAGGTTAACTCAGTGCACATAGTAGAGGGCAGGAAAGAATGTAAAAATCACAATTAAGAGGTCATATTCCACTCTGTCTCTAACTTCTTCACACGGGGATGTGGGGAGGAGACAGGTGGAGCAGCAGAACACCTGCTGGGTGTTTATGACAAACGTGCCAAGTCTACCCCCCAAACTCTGTTGCTCCCCAGTTAAGCTGAAGCTGGGGTTTTTACCACCCAAAAGGGTTATGTAAAATGGGGGAAAGGGTCTCACCATCAGTGAAATATAGCTGTCCCAATCTTTCCTCTAAACTCCCAAGGCTAATATTCTTATTTTCTTCATGGAGACATTTCGTGGAGTACAAAGTTGATCACAAAACATCTGTCTGGCATAAATTCTGTGGATCCTGCTGTTTCACATAGAAAATATAACAAATAGTAAATTTAGCAATCTGCTACTGCTATTGTTGTGGTTTCTGTTTGCTTTTTAAAAACATGTTTATTAATACACCCTAATCATACACAGCAAGATCTGGTTTGGGGAAACACAGTTTTGTTGCATTGATGATATTTTCATTAAGAACAACAGATAAGTCTAGAAAGTGTCCTTAGTTGAAAATAACCAGATTCTGCTCCACTCCCTGGAGTTCTTCAACACACTTGGCTTGATTTACTCCAAATAATAAATGGCAAAGGAGTGCAAGAGATCTGAGCGCTAGACAAGCTCTTTGACTTTTTCAATTTGTATTTTCAGCACCCATCTACCCCAGTAAATGCTTAGTAAGTACTTTTTGAATAACTAAGGTATATAATCTGTGTGTATTTAGACGGTGAAACATGAACAAAATAATAAAGTAATTTGCATTATACATGATGTATGAATATATATGCCTATACATGTATGGCTGTGTATGTGTGTGTGTGTGTGTGTGTGTGTGTGTAATTTGCTTTCAACATCTGAACACTCCAAATAGGAAGAAGATAGATACTTGAGATATATAACTAGAGTCCTTAGGTAAATCAACGTTAAAGATCTTAAGATACATTTTTAGAGTATAGATCCTAGGACTTTTAGGTAGAGAACATGGTAAAAATTCTGAACACAGGACATGATCTCTGAAGACTGGCTTTTTACACTTATATATTTGCCAAGATTACTTTATGCTGTGGAATTTATTACCTCCTGAGTGTTCCAAATGCAGAAAGAGGGGAACTAGGGAAAACACCTCTGGTTACTTTTTCTTAATGCAAAGCCCTAGGAGACAGGATCGTTTATGTGGAAAATCCTCGCCATTCTTCTGGTTGACTGCGACCACTGAGGCAACTTCTCTCCTCTCCAAGCTGGTAGAAAATGCTGTTGTTTTGTGGACATTTTCTTCAAAGGACTTAGGAAGGAATTATTTCCTCCAACCAGATCAGTGGACAAATAAACTGAGGTTTACAGAGGCCAAGTGACTGGCCCCAGAGCTCAGAGCCACTAAAGTTTTTCTGCTTAAGAACATCCAGGATGACAAGTATTCTCAGACCCTGTACCAGTCTCGCTGTCCTACTCTTAAGGTAACGTTTGCCAGTTTCACAGAAAAACAATTGCAGATTGAGGACTGGGGGGAGGGTAGAGGGGAGGGTAGGCAGTGGTCATTAGCAAATCCCTGGGCCCGGGGATCACCTGCTCCCTAGGATCAAAACAGTGAAACAAGCTATTCCTAAGGACATCAAGGACGAGTGGGCCATTGTTTTCAGAACCAGCTGTGGAGCGTCAGCTGAGCAGTGGCCTTGAAACAGCTGTGGCTGCGGCTCCAAGGGGCAGGGGCGGTAGGGGGTGGAAGCCTGAGCTAGGAAGGTCGTGCCTCGCTACCTCTAGGCAAACCAGGAAGTATTTTTTTGCTATGGAGTGCAAAGGATGGAGCCACCTTCTGAACTGACAGTCTCAATGGTACACTGCAGGCCCCAGACGGGCTTAGTAACTGCAAACCCTCGGCGGGCAGGGTGCCCGGGAGGCCGCGGACTGGCAGCTAAATGGTCAGGGTCTGAAGCACAGAGTCGGCGCTATCACAAAGTACACAGGGCCAAGCAGCCTCTGCCGTCTTAGCAAACCCTGGCCGAGCAAAGTCCGGGGTAAACAAGCCTCCAGACGCACCCCCGACCCGCCTGCGCGCTCCTCCGCCCCGCATTTCCCACGCGCCCTGCACGCAGCTCCGCAGCCTCAGCTGCCCTCTCGCTGCGGCCCCTCTCCGATCGCCCCACCTTTCGGCCGGGCCCTGGTTCCCGCAGCTGGCGCGCCGCACTCACCATCTCTTGCCTGAGGAAGTGCAGCTTGGTTTCCAGCCTCTCCAGGGCGCTGCAGTGGCTACGACGTGGGGACCCGGAGGCTGGAGAGGACGCGGAGGAAGACGACAGGGAGGGGGGGAAGCTGCAGCTGCTGCTGCTGCTGCTGCTGCTGCAGCCGCCGCCGCTCCCCCCGCAGGGGTCCCCGTCCCTTTCCAGGGGAACCGGCTCCTCCCCACGGAGCGAGCGCACTAGGCTCTCGGGGACTTTGCGCCCCAGCTTCAGCTCGATGTCTCTGAGGTCTGGCAGCGGGCCGTCTTCCATGACTTTTCCAGACCGAGGATAATGGTAATAAAACGCAGTGGAGGAGAGGCAGCAGCGGCCTCCAAGGCTGTGGCGAAATGCACAGACCCCTCCCGGCGCCCGGGTCTCTATCCTCGGCGGCGGATGGAGTGCACCGTCCGCTCCATAACCGCTTGCGCTGTTATGAACCCCGAAATCCGCACAGGACGAGGCGGGTGGCGGCCGCAGTTTCCTGGGTGCTGTGGCTCTGCCGACACTTACTAAGATTTTAGGAATCGCTTCCTTCTCTTCCTTTTTTGCCACCCCACTGCAAAGTTGAGTCAATTGATACTGCAGAGAGGAGAAAATCCACGTACTGTAAACCCCAAAGAAATGAGAAGGAAAGTGTTCTTGGCGTTGTGGGGGAAAATTCACATTATAAAACTGTCCGTTCACATCTCTGCATCATTCACTGATTGCCCATCTGGTACTACGCGACACAAAGTAAGATGTGGCCACACTCCAGGGTCGTTTCATTTTCCAGCCATATGTCTCCAAGCTTTCGGAATATCCTGGATTGGCAGAAATAATCCCTGGTCAGTGAGAGAGGAGGTCGGTCGTGTGCATGGACGCATAAAAGAGATGGTTAGCTTAGCGGGTGTTTAACGGCTTTCTCGGCTCCTTGCAGCAGAAATGCCCTTCTTCTCATTTAGGCAGTTTGATCCCAGTCATTGTGTTCTTCCGAGCCTTGGAAACTTTAAACTCCGCTGGCAGGTGGACCAAACCAGGGCCAACCCTTGTACCGTATATCACAGGCAAGAAGAGCAAGGAAATGTTCCCAGCCTGGCTGTTAGTAGGAGTTTAAGCGAACTGCTTTAGGTGGAAGTACCGAATAGGGGTGTTCGATTTTCAGTTTTTCCAGTGAAACTGTCTGGCAACCACAAACTTTAAAACAGTTAACAAAAGTTGGAGGAAGAAGAATGATTGAAATGTGGTGTCATTTCCCACCCCCTATCTTCCTATACAGCAAAAGTCTAGCTTTAGGAAGAAGCCTTTCCTAATTTTACACTAGTAAAAAGTGAAACTGTTTCACCAAAAGTTGTTCAATAAGAATGTACATCCCAAATGAATTACCTTATCAAATGTTACAGTATGTCACTGCCAGAAGTGAAGAATTAGGTAACCAGAACATTTTATATGACTACTGAGGTAGGGGTGGATTTTAAAAGGCTGAAGTTGCTGAGATACTTTTAATCATGGAGAAAAAAAGTGCTGCACAGAGCTAGTGAAAAGTTGTCTTTGATAATTTTGCTATATTTTTCAACTACTTAGAAGATACCCAAAGCATATAATCTATTTTCAAGATACTACCAAGTAAATTACTATGAGCTACATGGATTATAGGTCTGACACAATATTGAATTTGTGTGAATAATCTTCAAGTGGAAGATATTCTTTCCAATTCAGTAAGCTAATTTTGGGGTTCCTGTGGAACATTTGAAAATATAGACTCCTCTATTTGGAGGAAAAATAAATATTTGTGTTCTTGGTCCTTCATGGGCTCCATTCCCAAACATCACCTGGGTTTTATACTTAGCACATAGGCAGACTCCATCTCAGAGTTTGTTCTTAGTAGAACCTCATCTAAGAGTTATAAGGATAGTCAACATAGGCCTTCAGAATAAAATATTTCAAGTCATGGAGAAAATTGCTAAAGTTCTCTTATCACCATGCCAGAAATTGGTGTGTTAATTCTTACTCTTAAAAATGAATGAAGAAAACAGTTGTAAATTTAGTTGTAAATTTTAATGTTTGAACAGCCATTCATGGAATCAAAGGAGAACAATGCTAAATCTCAACTCACTGATAAAGCAACAAGGTTTGCCCTGAATTTGGGAAATCACAAACTCACTGGATAAGAACTGCACTGTGACATATAATCCAGGAAGGCTTGCACTTTAGTCAAGAGCAGTTTGTGTGTTGTTGTTGTTTTCAAACCCTCACAAAGTCCAGCATAGGGCTGGCTGAGTGGAGTAGCTTTACAAACACAATAGTTAGCTTGTACTTGGTCAATAAAAAAAAAAAATGTATTGTCAAATTATCAGTGCAACTGTACAAAAAAGGAACACCGCCTTTGCTATGAGTCACAGACAGTAAAATTAGTATTTAATACTGAAATTGAGAACTCAGAAATAGAAAACTTCTATTTATTTGTTTATGTTTGCATTTTGAATGTCTGCAGAAAAAACTTCTCTGAAAATAAAAATAAGGCCTGACGTGTCCAGCTTCAACTTGCTCGACTTCTTTAGATACAAGATAACCTAGCATGCCCTTAAGGATCTGGGTAGGGAGTTTTTGTTTTCAGTAGCTGTACCACCGGAGGGTGGGAAAAGAAATGAAAACATTAATTTGGAGAGTTATTGCCAGATATTTGAGGAAACTAGAATTGAAAGTTTGGTAAGGTCTGGCAAAATATGAAAGACAACTGATCCAGTTTACAGATAGATGACAAACCTCCAAGACAAAGAAGGACCAGAGTCAGATAACTCACAAAGGTATGCTATACTTTCCTTGTAATTTATGAAACATGCATGTTTCCTATAGTTTATGAAACATGAAATATCTCTCTATAGTTACCCCCCTTTTCGGTTCTTGTTTACAAAATAAATCTGACCTCATTAAGACAAAGGCCAAAAAGTATGTAAAGTAACACTTTGTGCTAGTGCAATATACAACAAAGGTACAAATTTTAAGAAAAGCTTAGTTATGCTGAGCCCTTCCAAATTTCTCAGTTTAATGGTTCATAACATTTTAATTGAAAATAGAGACATTTTGGGGGCGCCTGGGTGGCTGAGTCTGTTAAGCTTCAGACTCTTAATTTCCACTGAGGTCATGAAGTCACCGTTTGTGAGTTTGAGCCCTGTGTCCCCCGGCTCCGCACTGACAGTGTGGAGCCTGCTTGGGATTCCCCGTCTTCCTCTATCTCTGCCCCTCCCCTATCCCCCATGGGAGTGTGTGTACTCTCTCTCAAAAATAAATAAGTGCTTTGAAAGGTAAAAACCTAAAATAGAGACATTCTGAATGCCAAAATGCTAATTTTCAAAACATATTAGAATCCCAGAACTGTTATTAGGCTTCTTATAGGTTGTGTTCACTTTGTCATTACTGCCTTATGTGGTCTGGTATGAGGACATTCCTTATTTAATATGTTCAAAAAAAAGGGTCTTAAAAGAAAAAAGAAAGAAAAAAAAAACTTCGGGTCTTGAGAATTTTTTTGTTTGCAAGATTCTCCTATAATAAAAAAAAAAAGTGAGAGGTCGAACCACTTGCTCTCCTTCTATGTTAGCCCTGTAGGTTCATTACACATTTGATTTGGGGAATCGGCTGTTGAGAACTGGCAGCAGTGGGTCTAAGATGGGAGTCTGGGGTGGGAGTGAGGTCATCACAAATAAGAAAGAGGAAGAACAAAGAGACAGAGGGAAAAACTCTCTGGATGACCTTTTCCCATTTCCCCAGCTCTTACTCATAACAGCACGCCCTCCCTGCTCCTACCCTTCCTGTCCATCTCCAAACAGCTCCTGTTTCCCTGAGCTTGCTCTACTGACAAGTAAAATTATAAAAATAGTTCTCATACTATTTGTGATATAACTTTTTAGATCCAAACTGCTTGATTGTATGCTTCTTTTTCTGACTGCCTTAAGGGTGACCTGTATTGGGCTTTTTTTTTTTTTCTTTTCTATTTAGAATGCCTAGGAAATCTAAGAATCAATATTAAACTATGGAGGAGAGGAGACTTTCCTTCCTAGTTGGATCATGTTGATTGAAAAGGAAAGGGAGCCTCTTGTTTGTCATTGCAAACAGAACAAAACAAAGCCAAACAAAACAAAAAGAAACTTAGTGGCTAATTAAACAGGAACGTTGTTGGACTCCGATGACAGGTTTTAAAAGAATGCCTCAGTCACAGAAGCAGAGTGATGTGATGCACACTTAGACGGCTTCCTGGTCAGGGGCACGCTACTTTCAGCCCAATTAGACTCACCAAGACTTTGCGTGGTGTGAGTAATGCCACTCCTTAATCTGCTGCTGGCATTGTGGTTAAAAGAAAAAAGAAAAAAAAAGGCCTCTCACCTTCTCTCTGGCACCGATTGAAGGTTTGCAGCTTTCCCAACTCTTGCTGGCAGAGAGTTCAAGCACTAGGGCACAGTCTCTAACCTGAGACTCCACTTCCCACAGTGCAGGATAATAGCTAGCAGCTAACAGCCTCAAATTACCCCTAAGAATTTTAGGAAGTAACTATTTCATGGGTATCAGATTCTTTGAATTTCTGTTTTAAATGTGGAGAGCTGCTGTTCCTATAAATGTTTTTGTTCGGCTGATGAACTGTTTAACAAGGAACATGTCATAGCAAAACTAGAGAATGTTGAGCCTATCCACACACAGTGGAATTATATATATGTGTTAAAGCTATGAAGACTTTACCCTGCCTGCTTATGGACATTTAATTCACCTATGATTTTGTAGCTGGGTTGGGTCTGTTTTACTAAGTAGAATCATTTTATTACCAACCTGAGCAACTTACACATATTATACCATGGATATTGCCCTATCTCTCTATCTATCTGCCTATCTAAAATGTTTCTCCCTAAAGAGCACAGATCCTTTAAATAGTACTCTGATTGGAATCTAATTAATATTTATAATCACAGCTAAACACTTCCTTAGGAGATTTAGAAGACAATACTAAAAGTAGGTCACCAGAATCTAAGTCTGCCTTATCCCCTCTTCACAATCCCTGTCAAATCTCTCTGCCTTCATTATCTGTAATGGAGTCCTCTATTTGTTTATACTTGTTTTCCATGCTTTCCTGAATTCCCACTGAAAGGTGCAAAGCAAGGCCCAGAAGAGCAATGTCTTTGTAAAGCTATCGTTGGTCACTTCCTCTGTAGCCACTCCAGTTTGGCTTATAAAGTGGATTTATGGGTTATTTCAATGGTGTGCTGGTAAATGTTTACAGCTACCTCTATGAAAATATAAAAATAACTGATTTGTATAGCTTTTGATAGTTCTCATGGTATAAGTATTCCCACCATGGCTGATTTCAAGCTTCCAGTGTGAGTTGAGGAAAGATGGGCCCCAGCACAGCATTATAATAGTATTTCTACTATACAGATGTGTTAGACATAAATAGCCCCAAGATCATTGATTGTAGTAAAATGCAATCAAAGAATTAGGAAGAGACGCATTTTTTATTATTTTCCCCTTCGTTTTAGCAAAAGTTACCTAACTTAAAGCTTAACACAGTGTAATTTTTGAGCAATCAACCTAAAAAATTACCCAAAATGTAACAATCTGCTCCTGAAAAGTGGTATGGGCTGCTCCCAGTATACCTCTGGTTCGTAAAATACTGAAGGATGATCATTAATTACAGTTAAGAAAGAAATAGAAATTCAAAGTCAGAAAATGCAGTGCAGTTTACAGTCTAAAGGTTGGGCAAAGTAATAATTGGGGAAATTGTGTACCAAAGCCAGAAGCAGGAAGATCCGGGAACTCATAAAACTGTTTATGGTCATCTCCTGGGGGGCTGCCGTAACCAAATACCACAAAGTGAGAGGCTTAACACAAGAGAAATGTATTGTTTTATAGTTCTAGAGATGAGAAGTCCAAAATCAAGATGTTGACAGGGCTATGCTCTCTCTAAAGCCTTAGGGAAGGGTCCTGCCTCACCACTTCCAGATTTTGTTGACCAAGTATTGGTGTGAGGCAACATAGTTCTAGACTCTGCCTCCATCCTCACATGGCTGTCTTCTCTCTGTGTCTGAGTCCACATTTTTCTCTTCTTCTAGGGACACTAATCATATCGGGTTAAGGGCCCACTCTACTCCCGGATATCTTAACTTAGCAAATTAAAACTGCAAGAACCTTAGGGAGTCTGGGTGGCTCAGTTTGTTGAGTGTCTGGCTCTTGATTTCAGTCAGGTCATGATCTCAGGGTCATGGGACCAAGTTCCACATTAGACTCCATGCTGAGCATGGAGCCTGTTTAGGATTCTCTCTCTCTCTTCCTCTGCTGCTCTGCCTCACTTGTGTCCTCTCTCTTTCTAAAATAATAAATAAACAAATAAACAAACACATAAATAAATAAATAAATAAATAAATAAATAAATAAATAAATAAATAGAAATAAAGCTACAAGAACCTTATTTCCAAATAAAGTCACATTCTGAGGTAGTATTGAGTTAGATTTCAACATATCTTTTTGCAGGGGGACATATTTCAACCCATAACACTGTGGACAGGTGTTTGGTCTTGGGGGTTCACCTCAGACATGAGACCATGAATCATAGGAGAGAACTGGAATCCACAGGGAAAGCCATAGGGAAGAAGCAGATAACAGAATTTGCCTCCATCAGGCAACAAGGATTATCAATGACAGGCCAGGAACACCTGGGTAGTTCAGTCAGTTAAGCATCCAACTTCAGCTCAGCTATGATCCTATGGTTTGTGGGTTCAAGCCCTGAATTGGGCTCTGGACTGACAGCTCGGAGCCTGAAGCCTGCTTCAGATTCTATCTCTGTCTCTGTCTCTCTCTTTGATCCTGCTTTGGCTCTCTCTCAAAAATAAATAAATAAACATTCTTTAAAAATGATAGTCTAGTTTACCCCTTTATTAATAATCACCTGTAAGTTAGATAATAATAGCTGTTAGATTTTTTAAAATATGCTTTTATAGGCTAGAAAACTTTGCTCAGAAACACCCTTATCCTGCAATCCAGTGCATAATCCTGGGCATAATTCATAATAATCAATCTTTGATATTTTTCACCAAATATCTTGATGATTTCTAAAATCAAATTTGAGGTGGGCTCTACCAATGGATAGTATAAATTTAAGACAAACATGAAAAGCCAAAAAAACTCTATTTCTAGGTTTTAGTTTAGAGATAACCTTATTAATTTGCTTTGCAAACAACTTCACAGGTATTATTTGAAATATTGGTTTTTCTACAGCATGGAAGCCAAGCACATTGAACTAGAAGCCCAGTGTAAAGCAATGTCGAACACTCACAGAGAAGACAGCATCTCAGACGTGTAGAGAGAGCTTTGAGTTTCCACAAGGGTTTTAACCTGCAGATGTGGCACATGCTGTAAAATGCTCACCTGAATGTCCTGACTTCATGATCAATGACCATTTCTGGTAATGTCTCTAAATATCTCATTCCCTGTCCATATGTAGGTGTCTAGCTTCTCCTTAGTCTTGCTGTTACAAGTATAGATGGAAAGGTAGAACTGCCTTTCAGTAGTCTTGGGAGGAAGACAATGAGGAATATAAGTTTTTACGTATTTTTTAATTTTAAAAAGATTGCCAAGATTCTGTGTAAAGACACACATGAATCAGTTAGCATTATTTGGGTGTTAAAACTCAAGAACTCCCCATATTAGAATTGCAGATCTTAGTCTTATGACTTAAGAGCATTACTGTACAGTTGAAAGTTAGCCTTCTTGAGCTATTAACTAGCAATGCTGCATTGGAGAGAGAATGAGAGAGAGACTGAGAATG